ACAATAATTTTCGATGTGTATTATTATAAATATTTATCAGTATTATAAAAAATCTCCTTTTCTTTGATTCAAAAAACTACGTTTTTATGTCTAAAATTTTAAATCTAATTTAACCATTTATAGAAACTAAATAAATAAAACATTTTAAAAATCACTTGAATAATATTCGCATTTTAATAGCAATCACATTTTACACCATAATATTCAAAATACTTTGAACTTCAAAATATTTAATTAAATAATTACTTTTTTGTTAACATACCAAAACAAAGGTTTTAAATTAAATTGTATAGGTGACTAGAGATATTTGGTAATAATAGTGTATCCCATATTTCCGGATCACATTAAGAGTGCCGGATTTTCGCTAAATATGACACATTTATATTGTATAAGGATTACCTTGTACCTAACGCATAAAATCAAATTTAAACTACAATACTATATTACTACCTAATAATAATAAATTAGTCATTTAAATTGAATGTAAACACATAAGGGTATTATTTAAATTTTAAATTATCTACAACAATATTTTAAAAAATAACAGTCAAAATACGAGTAATGCATAATGTATTTAATAAGGTATATTAATTACCTATACAAAAGTATATTGTGTATTTATGTGAGAACTCTAACATTTTAAAAATAATTTTAACTTTTGTTATAGTGCAAAGCATTCTTAATAAAAACAAATACATAATTTCATTTTTAATTATTAAAAAGTAGATAATATTATCATTAAGTAGGTAGATAGTATTTATAAAACAGAATGTAATTCACAATTTTAGTTATTGAAGAACTGATATTTTCTAAACATAATGTTGTATACATTAAATAAATACAAAATAATATAGAAGTTTAATTTTATTTATTTACTGCTAATATAAATGCAAATGTAAAATTAAAATATATTAAAAGTAACTTTATAGAATGATTTTTTTAACATATACTCGTATTTGAAATTTTAGGTACTTTATATGACACACACGTTATTAATTTTTTATTCCAAATTAGTAAAATCCTTGAAAATTTTGTTATTGAAGAATCGAATTTTGAACATAGTTAAAAATTAAATTCACTCATAGTTATAAGGTATAAATATAAAATATTTACATAAAATAGTGTACCAATATTTTTTGAAACTACTCCACTCCATTTCACTCATCTAAATTTTAAACAATCAATCAAGTTGTATACAAATATGTATTATACTATTTTTACAATATTATAATATTTTTAATTTTAAAGATTTTTCTATCAAATTAGTTGTTGAATTGAAACAATACATTTTTTATTTTACTTAAAATGCTATTATAAATATAATCATACAAAATGCATTTTATTTTAAATAAAATCATTATTATATAATTATAAATTTTAATCAGTAATAAAAATATAAAGTGGGATATTTAATGATGTTGTATTTAGTTATAATTCTATAATTCTATCTATTCATTAATTCATCAGGGATGGGTCACTTGATTGTTTCAAGCCTAGTAGTATTTGTGTGTAAATTTAATCATATGTTTATAGTGTAATATAATATCATGGTACTTTTTACATATACCATACAATCTGTTTTTATCTATATTATAGATAGGTATTTTAACCTAGAAGCCAAATAGGCTATGGATAAATAATATTTAATACAGTTCTTACGTATAAGCTGTAAGCTGTAACCTATTAATATTTTTCAATAAATAATAATGAATAATGAATCAATGAATTAAAAAACAATGTACAGAGATGTGATTAAAATAGCTTGTGTTAAAATATTTAGAACGATTATTATAATCATATTTTATTGTTTATTTTTATTATTTAATATATTCAAGATTAAGATTGAATAAAAACAATGAATATATGTATTGTGTAAATTTATTTATATATTATGTACTCTGTCTATATTTTTTACAATAATAAATTATGCAATTCATAAGGGATATCACTTGTATCTATTATTCTTTTGAAAGTTAACTGTTTCACTTTTTTACTCACCTTTTGCTTCTATTGTAAATACTTGTCTTATGTTAATATCGCCCTCTCTACATTTTCAAAATTACATGCAACTTTTATATTTCCAAATAGCAACCTATGTATATATACCTAAATTTTAAATTCTCAAAAATATGATGTTTGCTATTATTTAATATTATTATAAATACTTTCATAATATAAAATTAAGGTATAGAAAATATTATAAATTAATTACATTTATTTGAAGTTTTAACCAAGATATATTTTAAATGAGTAATTTAATTTAAAAATAGATAATAATAATTACGCATCCTTATTTTTCATGTACAAATAATAGATGTATGTGTACTATGTAGTGTATACACTCGTATGACGTATATACATCAGTTTACAAGCATACTAATTATAATAAATTAACAATTAAAATTTGAATAGTATTGTATGACGTATGAGATCTCTTAATAACATATACCTATATCAAAGTTTAAGCTTATATAATAAATTATTCCTAAGTGACGAACTTTTTTACGTATTGTTATTGTTATTGTATTGTTGCATCTATATGTGAGTACATCTTATTTGCGTACAAATTGTTTATAACTAGTTGTATCATCAAAATACTGTACGTATACGGTGCATGTAAATAAATTAGGTATGTAGGTATAGTTGACGTTTACACAAAGTCAAGGTGTTGGTAAAAACTATTAACCTTTATTAGAAGAAAACATCTGATATTTATATAAGAGATTAGAAATATCCCACTTATAAACTATAAATTAAAACTTGATATCAGTAACAACCGTAGACGGGTAAGATTAAAACGCTTTGTACGAACGTGAGAAAGGAGCCAATTTTGTTTAAATCGTATATGTGTATTGTAATGTTAAAGTTAAGTGTAATTATAATAAATATATTATAATTCATTGTTTTTAAAGGCTGTTAATAGTTAATTGTGTCTTTACAATCGTGTTGTTAGTAAAAATTAGTGTTAAAAATCTCGACAAAATCAATACGTTTAGACGTGAAATTTTCTACAGAGAATTCAGAATACTATTCTACACATTTATTACATCAATATTTTAATCTAGTTGAGAAAAACTATGGTATTTCAAGTAGGTATCAACTTATTACGAAAATTTAATATTTTAGTTTTTAATAAATATTAGCATTTTTTAATATTTTTAATTGAGTTTGATTTGTGTAAATTATTGTAATTACATATTATTTAAATTGTTAAAAATGTTTACACATTCATCAAAAAATAAAAATAACAAAATTAATATTATTAAGTTGTGTGAACAATACTACGATTCATATTTTTTTGACTATATAATATATTAATATATTATCTTTATGATTCATTTTTTATTTCTATTATTTATTTATAGAGACTATTGTAATTTGTTTTTACTATAACACTAAAAAAGCTCATTAACCTTTATTTCATGTTTACTATCTATATTTTCACATTTTTATATAAATTTCAAACAAGTTTGAATAAACCGATATTACAGGCTAAGAATCGATTTTTAAGTACGATAATCATATTATGTGGTATAATAGTAAAATATTATCGAATTAGAATTAGTAGACATTCGCCTTAATATCAGTATATTCCTTTATACATATATTATTCTATATTATTTACTTGTTCCATGTTTCATTTTATACGTTTGCAATTCATTATTTCCTAGTGGGATATTAAATAATAGAGTTTCGTGTAATAATCTGCAATAAAATATTAAGCATATAAATTGTTTAGCGAATCAGTTCGTGTTTGTATTATGTAGGTATAGAAACTTATATAGTCATATAGAAAGCTAATGTCAAAAACAATTAAAGTACGGATATCTATTTTATATGGGTACTCAATATTATTGGTATGCCTATTTAATTACTGTTTTATCATTTACATACCTGTAGTATTATAAAACGTAAAATTTCCATTTATGACATTAATTAGTAAGATCTATAAATATTATAGACTGATTGCAATCGTTAGTTTTCATTAGAGAAAAATCTCATTGAATATTTTAATAATATATTCGTGAAATGAGTTTTAAATAATAGTTACTCTATTCACACTAGTTATTGTTGTGTGTACATTGTTAGGAAGTGATACTAATAGTGCGTGAAGCGCTACGCGTTTAGTGAACCGTGAAGGTGTCTGCAGACTACAGCCAGCGGCTGCTGCTGTATCAGTGACGATTGACAAAAGGAAAGCAAATCAAAAAAGAAGAAATCACTTTTTTCTAAAAAAAAAAAAATTTGGTTCATTCACCTCAGGTTTTCACGTAGATAGGTGCTTACTGTTTTCATGAACCGTTCAACATCTATAGAAAAACTGATTTTTTACTAACACCGAAATTATGTAGATACTTAACATAATATCATCGTTGTAATATCTTTATGTAGGTAGTATATACTCTCGTGTACTATATACAGTTATTTTCACTGTCGATTAACGAGTAACTTAATAATGTGTTCGTGAAAAATTGAAGTATAATATAATAATTGTTTATCTACTACACTTATAAAATGTAAATTTTTATTAAAACAATTAGCTGACCGGATAAAATAATTTACTATAGTTTAAAATTTAAATAAAACCACCAAAATAATATCAATGAAAAATTGTTAATAATTAATTATTTTTTAAATCAACATAATAATCTAATAATACTTTCATATGTCAGCAATATTATTATGCAGTATCATATTTATGTTTAAACGACAAACGTAGATGTGTTAAACTCGATCGCTAAATCTGTGACACGATTGTCACATATTATGTCGTAGTTACTACCAAATACCAATAACACAATATTTGTATGAAAACACGACAACAATTTTACGGAGATTAACGCGATCTGTCGACCAAAAAATGTGTTCATTAAATTATTATATAACAGTGATACATGCGTAGAAATTAATGAGTATTATAATTATTTCATGTTTTTGAAAATGTGCAAATCAACGTAGCTTCGACCGACTACATTCGTGTTTTCGTATTATTGTTTCAGCAGCCACTGCCGCAGCAACAACTGCCGCCGGCGCGATAGCCGACGAAATAATAATAATTTTTTATTGAAATACGATTCAGTGGAAACAACTGTTACGGCGACAACAGGCTACAACCGCGCGACCGATTGTGGCTGACACCGACACAATTGCCGATACCACGCACCCGGAAATGGCGCTGATTGTCCCGGAAGAATCGCAACGGCCATACCGGTTCGGCATGACGCTGGTGTGCATCGGCGCCCTGTTCAACTGGCTCGGGCTGGCCGACCATCACACGAAACCCGTGCCGGCCGTCCGGTACATCGGCGTAGGTCTGGTCGCCTCGGGTGCGGTGCTCATATGCATGGCCATGTGCTTTTGGATGAACAGCGTGCGTGACGACGAAGACGACGTGAGTATTAAATGTTATGCCTATATTATGATATATTGTTAGGTCGCGTGGGCGCGCGAGACCAGTAAGCGCGCCAGGGTCGATTTTATTTTTTTTATTCTCGAAAATCCGCTTTCTTGGGGGTATGTCTTCCTATTATTGGACATACGTACATAATAACATGCGTTTAGCCACTATCAACCACGTGCACAAGCCCACTGTTTAAAGAATTTTCCTGGACTATAAACACTAAAAAGTTCGATAAAGCGATCGCAATCCACAAACTTTGTTGTTTAATAGCGATTCCATAAACAGCACATTTTGGCCATTGACTGGAGTGTTAGGGCCAAAAGGTTATGCAACGATTATAAAATAATAAAATGATACTACAGTAAAGTACTAATCTAATATATTATAATACATAATATAACTAATAAACGCAGAATAACTCAATTAATTTTTATATTCGATAAGAATAACAAAAGAAAAAATGGCAGTTTGAAATTAAATTTTTAGTTTTAAGTTTTTTGATTCTGAGCTCACGATAATTATTCAATAATACTATCATAAGGAAGGTGTATACTTTAGTCGTATAAAACTTTTAAATCAACTTCAAACAACATAAATACGATCTATATCTATGTCTAAATCGTAAAATGGAACGGTTTCTGTAATTTTATAATCATTATTAACTATTTATTATAAATTAGATTACCTACCTTAAAGACCAAATTTAAACGTGAATAAGAAAGAAAGTAAGAAGAATAAGAACGGTGTAGTAAGAACGCTTAATCGTAAAATTAAAAAAAAAAAATTATCATAATTGTGATTTGTAAACACCCTCGAAATGTTAGGTCAAATGTTATTTTATGTTAAAAAGTTTAATTTTCTGTATTCAAGTCACGTTAGAGAATTGTTCTTAGAAAGCAATCTTCAAACTGTTTGCTTTTATATTTTTAGTAATTGAAAAAATGTTTAATTTAATTAATTTTCTATAACCCCTATATAATATGAGTAATATGGCTATATAAAATATATATTAATAGAACTTTAATGTTAAAATATGTTTGAAAAAATGCCTCATTAAAATAATTTATCTAATGTCCGAATAGGAAAAAACTTGATTTTTTTGTATTACTCTATATGGTACTTTTAGTGACCTCGTAATAACTAAAAATAAATTGTGTTTTGAGTTATTCAAAACTAGTTTATATTATTATCGTTTGAAATTTAAAAGCGATGCTTATAATTAAATACATTATTGTAGTTGTATATATAATCTACCTTCATGATTAATTAATTTATGAATTAAACTCGTGTCGCTAAACTTCTACTATAGCCTATAGATGATCATAGAGTTCAATAAAATCGTTCGTTATGTCTTTATTTCCAATCATTATCACAATGTAAAAAAAAACTATGTATACAATATATATATATATATATATATATATCCTAGTATTATTTACTGCGAATTGAGTTTCCAATTTTTGGCAGCCTATTTGAATAATGATATTAAAAAAAAAAAAATTACCACAAGTATACAATCCTGACAAGTAACCAACCTCTGATTAATCTGATCTGTTCATAATTTATGGTCAACATATCTCAATACGCGAAACATTTATTACTCTAAAAAGTATCGTTGTACCGAAAATGATTACCCTGAAAGAAAATTAAAATGTATAAAATAACTTCCATCATCGTTATAGAAGCACCGTTTCGTTATGATCAGAAACCATAAAATTAACATGTAATACTCAATAAGGTTTCTCCGTTTTTTTTTTTTTTTTTTTTTTTTTTTTTTTTTTTGTGTAAATTAGGCAAGTGATGATCATGTGGATAACCTTCTCGTTAATATCCCGGATACTGTTCTGATAACAAATCTAAATATTTATTTATTATAATAATATTACGTTATTATTGACCAAAGTCGTTTAATGATATTTATTTAAAAAAACTTTTAACAGCTGGTCAGCAAGCAGGGGAGGACTTCAGGATATCATCCTAAGCTATCGTTATTTCACTTCACGAATATAATATATACTGCAGGTGGTATATGTAATGAGTTATGACCATAGACTAGTAATGGATGTTATCATCAAAATAACCTTAAAATTAAAAATAATTTAAATGCTCTATGCGACAATAAAATTTCGTTTACTAGGGAACGGTTAATATAACTTATCGTCGCGACACTCCAAAATACATCATTTTATTGCATATTACACCAATGATATAAAATTAAAATTTTTATACAGCCCTTTAATTTGTTATTCAACTCCTCACTAATAATTAGTAACTACACAAAAGCATAACTGCTAACTCATACGTATTTGTAAATTATAGGTACAAATGTAATTATGTTATAAGATGTAGGAAATTACTAACAAATTTGGATGGTTCCAGCAAAACAATTTTTTGATCAGGAGCAATATTTTTCATAAAATTACCATTAGATACCTAAACATGAATACCTGTTATAATATTTATTGTTATACTGTTCAATGCTCCCATAAATTCGTTCGATGACCTACGCTTGTAATATTATTAAAATTCAAATATAAGCATAGATGTACCCTCATTGCACTACCCACATAAGTAGACGTGTCTATTGTTCTTCACGAACCATGTGTATTATAATAAACCTCTTAGATTAAATAGGTATAATAAAGTTATTTTGCTCCTATAATTAATTTCTTTGTATTTTAATAAATAGTCAAAATATTTTGTACATTAAAAAATTTTAATTTAACGCTTCTATATATCGTTATTCGACGTTAAATATTATTCAACATAACATACTTTCATAATTGAATAAAATATATTATTTTTATAATATAATTTTTCTTTTAAAGTTTAATAATTTTTTCGAAATTTAAAGATTATTCATTTTCCTACTAACTCAATTGACAATAATAGACTTATATTAATTAGCTTAATTATTTTGTTTTAATTAAAAAACATATTTTCGTTGTTTTAAACTTTTAAATAAGAGACTAATTCAATGGTAATCCTTCTTTGAATAAAGTTCAAGTTAAATAATAATATATTTACATTTAAAATACATATTATAAGCGTGATAATTATAAGTACACTAACAAAATTGACGAAATTGTCTGTGCACAGCTTTATATTATAGACAATGTACCTAAATTAAAAATTAATTTCTAAGAATACCAAAGCTGGTAACGTTTCGAAAGTTATGAGATAGACATAATAATTATTTAAACATTGTATAATTACTATGCGGTATATAGACTCCTAAAAAAGATTATAAATATTATTGACTAAAAATATTTTTTATAATATATTTGTGGCAAATATTATTATAGAACATTTAGTATTCATAATATTTAACATTAGTTATAGGACAACGAAAGACAATAAACAATTGGAGTAACATAATAATATCATATCATTCGTAATAGTCATGCTATAATAAGAACAGTTGTTATTGCCGATGTTGTATCAAATACATTTATTAAAATATCGTTCGTTGACCGTATGACGCAATTATTTTTTGTTGTCATCTCTTACCTTCACCATTGGCTTTGAAATTTGAATACTATTCGTATAACATAGTTCAAGTTATTATAATAAGATATTATCATTATTTTTTTTTTCGATATTTTATTTAAATTAATTGCATATCACTTAATATACAACAAATTCAATTTATTAACAGATTCAATTTTCAGTCTGTAACTATATCTTCTTATATTGCTTTTTATAAGAACTAAAAAGCATAAATTATCTACCTTATAAAGTAATACTTCTAATATATATAGTATTGATCAAGTTTCGTTATGCTATTTATTTTTTTATTTCTCATAATAGCCAAATTATCATAGTATGGTTAAATATAATTTGTTTTGTAACGAATTAAAAATAAATTGCTTCATTGCGTTTAGGTGTTCACAAATACACTGAATATTTGGTGCACAGTGAAATAATGAAGTAAATAATAACGATAACAATGTAATTCGTACAAACTTTTACTGACCTAAAATACATTTCTTTTCCTCGATTCATGACTTAATTATTGTTAAGTATATTATAATTACTAACTAATTATAAGACGTATAGATCCGCCCTTTCGCTTTAAACATTAGTGGCCACGTGATCTATTAAACAATATCTAATAATCAATAATATTAACAATCCTCCTTCTAGGTTCATAATTTGGAAGTAGTGTCAATGGATGCTCTTTCTAGTCATCACGACTAAAATACATTGTCAACTTATATTTTACTCATTGTGACCATTGTGTTATTATGTATACAGGTTGTAAATATCTTTTATAAAAAAATATATATATAGATACCCATGCCAACACGGTATTATGTAATAATATGTTTCAGATAGAATATATAACTTATATTTTATAAACTTTACACTCTCAATTTTAGATTAATATTTAAAATAATATACATTTATAATAAAACAAACAGCTTACAATTATCATAACGTATGAAAAATAATACACTCTTTTTACGCTATAATATTTGAATTAAAGTATAACTACGACTGCACTTGTTATGTGTAATAATAAAGAAAACGTATAACTACTATTATAATACTATGGTAACATAGGTATTATAAAAAACAGATCAGATGATATATGCAACATCTGCACCTCGCATACACATATTTAAATTTTATAATTAATTAATTAAAATGCAATAATTAATTACCAAAAATTGCAGCAGAAGTGAATACTATTTGCAGATCGTTGCAATAAAATATAATTTTAATCGACGCATCCAGTCGTATAGTTAAATTAGCTATTACAGGTGTAGTCTTTATCTGTAGCCAGCACGCTATAATATTAATAGTTGAAATCAAATGGGTAGTCGAAGCGCGTTTCGAGTTGATTTCAAAATACGTAGTGTTTTCGACATTTCCTGAAGCGCAAATAAAATGAACCTCCGTCAAATAATATATTATATAAATTATAACCCGCAATCCGTGGCTAAGGATACGATGATAATATATTTTATTGTTATACGATATGATAT